ATTGAGGTTAAGAATAAGATAAAAATTTTAATTCATATCATGAATGATATTAGGATTTGGATAAGGATTTAGATTAAGATTAAAATTTAGATTATGATTAAGATTATTATTCAGATTAAGATTAAGCTCAAGATTGAAATTAAGATTAGGTTTGGAATTGAAGTTGAGATTATAATCTATATATAAATACGCCACAAGAAAATTTTGCAATCCCTTTTTTTGAAGGCACCCTTCGCTCGATTTCAATGAAACATACACCGATTTAAAGGACATAACTTCCTCTAAAATGTGAAAACCACTATATCTCTAAAATCAATCATGCTGGGGAACTGAAACTTAGCACAGATGCATAGATTGTAAATACCCTACTTACGGCGAAAAATTGTAGGTATTGGAAAAGTGGGCGTGGCACCGCCCATGCAAACTGAAGTTCTCATATCGCTTATCTCTGAAACCACTTACGCACATGAAATTCTCATATCGCTTATCTCTGGGAAAGCCTATGCTAACCTCCTGAAATTTGACGCTGCAAGATATGTTGTCAATACGTATTTACGGCAAAAAGTGGTAGATCTTGGAAAAAGGGGCGTGGAACCGTCCATACAAACTGAAATTCTCATATAGCTTATCTCTGGAACAACTTATTATAAGGTAATGGAATTTCATTCAACTACATTTATACACATATAAAATCGCAAGAATCATTCAGTTGGGATCCATTTTCTCCCAGATTTGAAAATCGCATTAAATGATTGTTATTTTGTGCAAACGTTTTTAGAAGATTCAGTGTGTTTGTCTTCCGATAGGTGGCAAAGGGGAGTGAGAGCTATCCTAAACAAAATCATATATATGATCAGATTTGTTTCACTTTTAGAACACATATTAGTTACATAAAATTTCGTATAACTCGGTAGCCCAATCGTGTGATGAAAAAATATTGGGCTCTGGCCCAGTCTTGACGAAAACCCGTGTGAAACCTCCGTTAGAGAAGGAAATATTATCTTTTGTTGTAAATCTTCAAGATAGAGTATCCACCATTAACGATTCTGATGAAAAAAAGAAAGATGTGGACAATTTAGTTTTTAACTTCCAAGAGGCTCTCAGACAAATATAATCGAAAAACTTATTTACAGTCTGAGTTGGCATATGTTTGACATCTATACATTCAATTACATATGCATATTTTTTATAAATGAAAATCGAGATTCCTTTCTCGGTCTATTTTCAAAAGCTAATGAAGAAATTTGGAGGAGACTTGGTAGAATTATCATTAATCAATCTGGTATTAACGCTCATAATTCGATTTTAAGTTTTCCTGCAAATTCGCTAAAAATTATGTTGGTGGACTTCAAAATAGTAGTTCGCATAAAGGAGTTAGTATTGGTGACAGGTAAAATTCAAAAGTGTATGAAAAAAGATGTCGAATTTCGACAACTGGGCGATACTAGTTAGAATAATTATACATTATTTTGTAGAGAATTACTTATATAATATGGTGAGCTGTGCGGGTAATAGGAAGAAGAAGTTCCATTTCAGTCACGCGTGGCATCCGCGCACAACTTTTTTTTATACAAGTATTTTCTTCATACACTGCTGTAATAAATGAGTGTGAAACTTAGCTTTCCAAATAATTATCGTTCGGACACATATTTTTAGGGTTCTCTTTAAATCGCAGCAATTGCCTTCATTGTCCTTCAGCATTGCATTTCACAGCTCATACTTCCATTTAATAAAGCAACAGCTACTTAACGGATAAAAATCAATAAGAATTGCAATAATCAGAATGCCATGCGGCAAGATGTCTGTCATTCGAATAACTTTACCGTTATTAATCCATTTCCAGTAAGGCCAAAGCATTCTTCGCCCGCATTTAAGAAGGGAATGTCAAATGAAATTGGGGAGTTAATACTCAAATGCTTGAAATTGTTGTAATGGTTTTTGTAAAAGGATTTGTGAAGTGTATAAATTGTGCTGCCAAAAAGCATAAAGCAGACGTCACTGAAGCATTTCGAAGAAAGTGAAAATGTGGTGGCAGATACGCAAGTACTCATACAAATCCGTTTAGGTTCACATATGTACTTACATACGAGATTGTGATTATGCAGCATGTGAGTAAATACACATATGAAAGTTTATATGAATGAAATACTAAAAATGGCACGTGTCGCCGTCGATGTCAATGCTTGTCAAATGAAATGAAAGATATCCAAATGTACGGAAATTTTTCACTCAACACACTTGTAGATATGAAACGTATATTTATGCTACTTGCATTTGAAATGAACTTCCTCTTAAATTAAAAAAAAAAAAAAACCTTAAAAATATGAACTGAGCCAGAGAGATCAGTCTCGGTGCGTCATAAACGAGTTCCGCAGTGGTCAGATTAGATTCGTCTGGCCGGCGTTGAGCGACACATAGACCAGTAGGTCAGCTTTACTTTTGAGATATCTTCCCACTTCCCGAAGTGATAGGCTCCCAAGAATTTACCAGTCGTTTTATGGACAGTGCGGGGCGTCGGCAATGGAGATGCGCTGGGGTTTCCCTAGGGTTTCTTGCACCTGTCCAAGCTAGTGGTACCCAGGCTATACCCCGTAAGCAATCCTGTAACAACTATGCAGTCCTCCATTGAAGGCCGTAACAAGAAGCTAGTATTCCTATTACATTGTGGCCGCGTACCCAATAGATACGACCAGCCTATCAATGCCGGCTGCGGAGAAGGTTTTTGGATGATGTATTGTTCTTCGGCGGCTTCGATAAAGACTAATTTGATGATGATCTGTCAATACAGAGTTGTTTGAGAGTCATCGACCGTTTTCTTTTTGACGCCATATCTCCCGCAATTGAAGGCTTTCGTGAGAATACGTTCAGATTTAACTCGATTAATTCGATTGAGGCTGACTGAGAGGATACCTTTAGCTCATTAAACCACCTTCGTGTGGTCCGTTGGAACAGAAGTTTCCTTGAAATTCTACAAATTGCCATTATAAATTGGCGAGAATTTAATTATGACCTGCAAAAAGAGAAATACAATTATATTATATTGATTCCCTGCGCCTAGGTCGCATATGACAGGCTCTTCTCTGTCAGCTGTATGCAGGAAAGCGCAAATAACTCTGAATATTATTAACATATGTATACTTGGTGTTGTGAGAAAAGGGTGTCCGCTAAACCAACCAAACCTAGTGTTGCGCTCTTCTCTAGAAGACTGGATGGCCTTGTTCCTTCTTCCCTTATGGAAGTCACTATTCAAGTTTCTTCTGAAGTATGGTGCATAGGTTGGAAACTTTTGCGGAAGTCTGACATTGTCCAAAGACCTCCAAAGCCTTGACCGCGTTCAGTAATAGGATTCTAGCAATCGCTACGCTAAATTTTCGTCATTAAAAATCTCTAAATTAATAACGTCTGGGCCTAAAAATATGCAAAGCGAAAGCGGAGAGGATTTAATATAAAATCGTAAGTAAAATGTTTATGTTATGTTTCCCTGGCAGTGTTGTATATTTTTAGGCACAAGCATTATTGTTTTAGAGTTTTTAGCGATGGAAATTTTGCGCTGAGATTTCTCAATCAATAGTCTGGGAAATCTGCTTGTCAAAATCCGAAGAACGTGTGTGTCAAATTCAATCGAAAATTCGTGTGGAATGAGATCCTTTGTACTAACTCATATAATTATGGAGTAAGCAAATTTGAATTGAAAAAATAAATGTTTTTGGAGTTGTCAAGTTTTATTTTCAATAATTTTTACCGATTTTATGTAAATATTAAGAAAAATATATGCTTTGACCAACATGAAGAATATTTTTCACCTTTCCGTCAGAACCAAAAAAGTTATTTTCACCGCAAATTTGGGTTCACTAGCATTTATGGCGGCGGCAATGATATGTACATACATATATTTTCATTTGAATTATTTCTAACTAGCGATTCTTCGAAGTCTCACATGTCAATTATCGAGTCGCGAAAACACTTTAAAAGTCCATTAAAAATTCTCAACATTTCCAAGAAAAACCAAACTTAAAACGCCAGTTCTGTTCGGCAAACCACTCATCTAGCCACATTCTCAACACTTTTCCACTCTTCTGGCACATATCAACCTAAACCCACAAAATGAACAACCCCCCACACCTCTGCCCACCGCCACTGCCCACATTTATTTACTCTTCACTGGTTTGATTTGCCAGTGCCAGTTGTTGATTGCATGGAGGATTTAATGCTTTCATTTTTGGTTTGCTACTGTTTGCCAGAGGGTTAATAAGTAGATAAGTATGTATATAGAAAGGATATATATTTTTTTGTTTGCCTGTAGAATGGGTAAAGTTCATACATACATACATATATTCCCCAGTGGAAACGACTCCGTTGACCACTTGATGGCTGTGCATGTTCAAACGCACTCTGTGAGCAATGAAATCGAGTTCAATGTGAATAAATAAGTATTCGTTGAAATGTTTTGCGTTGATTGCTCGAAGTCGTTGTTTTCTTATTTCTTCACCTCACCGCCACGTCTGTCAACTTTTGACGCGCCATCGTCGTAGGGGGGTGGGGGGCGCGTCACGAAAGCATGGCTGCCACGTCACTAGCTTTGATGTGCTAATACCAACATCACCGGCGGGGATAAACCGGCCACACTCCCAAAAGCGGTGGGATGGCAGTTGGCAGCAGCTGACGCACCAGCCATGTGAGGGTTAAAAACGCTTATTGCCTTGAGGCAACGAAATGTCAGTGGGGACAGCAGCAACAACCACCAGTCAGCGTACGCGTGTGTTTGTTTGTTATGCTGCGCTGTTTGATATTTGTTGTTTAACTGTTTATTTAATTTTTTGATTTTGATAATTCTTTTATTTTTGATTTTTTTTTTCTTCTTCCATTTACATCCTTTTCTTTTTTGAAATGCTCTTCGTCATTTTTAATTGAATTTTCAATTTCGAGTGCGGTTTTGAGTGGCGCAATGTGCGATGCATTCATTTACAATTTGTTTCCCTTTTGTTTGTATTTATTTACAGAAGTTGCATTATTGGCCCGGAATTGACGATAAAAGTCTGCTCCATTGGCACTGTGATAAATCGCATCGCTTACGCGGCCGACTACTGTCAGCTGGAGGGTACTTCCGGACGTCAAACGCAACCGATGCCCATACGATGGATGGCATGGGAAAGTGTGCTGCTGGTGAGTTCAAATAGATATTTATGTACATATATGTGTATGTATGTGTGTATGCAAAAATAGATTGTTTTAAATTGATTTTTAAACTTTTATACAAAAAACGTAATAAATATATTATAAGATTACATGCGGAAAACTGGAAAAAGTAAGCAGCAACCAGTCAAAGCCAGAGAAGATGTCCAAGAAAAAAAGCTTCCTACCTATGAGCTGGTTAAAACCAGCGCTAACTGGTCAAAGCCAAAAAAAGGTTAGGAAAAAAAACTTGTTAAGCTTTCTAAAGATTTTCGATGAACTAGTTTAAGCCAGCGACGACCAGAGAGATCTTTCACTCTGCGCCCACAAAAACCTACAGAAAGCTTTAAAAAGCTCTACACTCAGGCTATAGGTATTTTAGTCGTTTCTTACCGACCAAATAAAGTTAATACGTTAAACCAGTAAGGTGCTACTCATCACCGTGCTGGACCAGTTACGACCAGAGAGAGCTTTTACTCTGTGAGCGTATACTTAAGTTGCGATCCCGTACGAGTCCGGACTAGTCAGAAATAGTCAGAATCAGTCAGAATTTACTGGAAATCGATCCCGTACTCGGTTCTCTGACTATTGAGAGGACAAAAAAGAGAGTAAATACGGTTCTCTCTCTGTCAGAAGTTACCACCCAGCAAAAAATCGGTAATCGCTTTTAGTGGTAACGTGTTCTAGAAGGCATAGCGTTGTAATGCCTTCGAATTTTTTCACTTCTTTTAGGCATTGTAGGTAATGCAAAGTAGAATGTCATACAATATTTTATTTATTTCGCTTCTTTGTTTCATTTTGGGGAATGCAAAGTAGAATGTCCTATAATATTTCTTTCTGAATTCGCTTCTTTGCTTCATTTCAGGGAATGCAAAGTAGAATGTCCTACAACATTTTATTTTTTTTCGCTTGTTTGCTTCATTTCAGGGCATGCAAAGTAGAATGTCCTACAATATTTTTTTTTTATTTCGCTTCTTTGCTTCATTTCAGGGAATGCAAAGTAGAATGCTACATCGTAGCCAGCTGAAAAATAGAATGAATATCCAAAAAATCTTTTTCTACCGTTAGTTTCTGTGGAAATTTGTCTCGCATAAAAATCATGTTTTGCTTTGTTCAATTTGCAGCGAAGTTGAAGTCAGTCAATGAAGTGAAGTACATGAGTGAGGAAGTACAATTTTAAGCTTAATTAAATATGCATGTATGTACATACCGATTTTTAAGTAAAATCTAAATACCCAAATACATACATATGTATGTATAAAAACTGATTTATACAAATTTTAATCTTTTAACACATTTTCTGATTTAATATATGTAAATAAGTATGTACTCATCTGGGCATTCTACATTAGTTTCTCTGTAAGGCATTCTTTGTTCGCTTCTCTGGATTCTGTTTATCCATGCGTTCTCCCTTCGTTTGAAGGTAATGCTGCGGGTAAGGGCTTACCGCCAATGACATGCCCATGTTAAAATAAGGCCTTCCTGAAGCGAAAGGGTAAGCGATTCCCATCGCCTAGCTCGTTTCCACTTTCGCTTCTGTGGTAATCGTGTTTTTTGCTGGGCAGTTTTGGTCCGAGAATTTTTTGCTGATAAATTCTGGTAAATGTGTCAAACGATCAGCAGTAGTGTGTTTGGCAACCAAATTGTAAACAACAGAAAAGTGCACTCTCCTAATTCATGTTGAAAAGTATTTAATTACTTGTTTAAGTGGATTCTAATGAATTTGAAAGTATTTTTGGTTATTTACATGTGTGAGCTGAGTGTGTTTACATACAAAATAAGCAAAAATTTACAACCAAAATTTGGAGGTTATGTTGAAGTTGACAGAAGTTACCATTTTTTACTAGAAAGCGATCCCGTACTTTTCGATGTTACTCTCTCGCTCTGAGCGAATTTTTATTTTTTGACTGTTTTACTAGTCCGAGTCCGAGGAATACGGGATTGCACCTTTAAAATATCTATAAAAAGCCGTTAAAAGCTTCTACCAAGGATTATGTGTTGGTCGTGACAACCATATATACACATGTAAAGGCCTCTTAACTACATGAAACCTTAAAAAAGCTTTTTAAGCAGCTCTTTTCTCCGCATGCTACATTTGCTAAATGTAGGTAATTCCCAAGCTTTTGTGTGAGCCCTTCTTATACAAGTTTTTTAAACCCGCTTTTTGCACTCATGGTGCATTTGTTACAAGTTGGCCACCCCCGAGGTATGCGTGCAACACTTTTTAAATCTACAATCAGCGATGATCAGAGAGAGCTTTTACACCACAGAAAGCTGTAAAAATCTTCTTCCGTAGTTTACGTTTTAGTCATGAGTACTTTAGATAGAAGAGTGATTTTCTCCTTCAAGAACCAACATGCTAGCCCATATTGATGAGAATAAAAATGGGGTGCCAAAAGAGTTTCTAAGGAACCACAAAAGCCCACTTCACACTCGACGACAAGACACACCTTAATCAGTTGGCCAGTTGGTGAACTTGACAGTATCACATTACGCAAATAATCAAATTCTAGACCTCTTTAACCGTCAAACTAAGAACAATCACGATTTATTTAGCTTCCCATGTCGCTGGGATAGCATTTACATAACAAATTTCTGATGCTCCCATCCTCGCACTTACTGGCGATGCACCTACCGCCGTGGCAGGTGGCAGGGCATGGAGAGCTCTGCAAAAACCTAACACCACCGCTGGCTCACAAGTCTACTCTACCTATGCTCCTTTATTTCTACTCATCTAATGCGCATTTCTCACGGTCTGCTGATAGGGGGTATCGCTGACAACACTTTGCAATATTACTAGGCTTGGCAAGTTTAGAATCGAATACAGATGAAGTAAAAATATTTAGAGAAATTGAAATGTGGGAAACAAGAGAGTACAGCTAGACCTGAAAATAGGTTAAAGAAGACATGACAAACAAAGGTGGTTATTGCAAAACCAATATGGAATTTGATTCTGGTTAACTACAACTGTTTCAAAGCAAAGTAAGTGTACATTATCGCTGAATCTAATCATTCACAATTTCTCAAGAAAGAACTAACTGAATGGTGTGTAACTTGTGAAATTAAGAGGCACAAGGTGCTCAGAGCTGGTGGAGCGGGTTTTTTAAGAAACTCCGCTGGTACTTGGTTGCCGGATACAATTCCCATATTAAAGATAGTGCAGAAGACACTAAGTGGCCGAAGAAATGGCCTCACAGACGGGTTCAGGATGGACTCCGGTTTATATCTATCAGAAATATCATTTGCAAAGCACACCATTCGTTTCTATTTCGTACCAATTGTCGCCAATTGGAATGCCAAGTGAAGTCCTTTTTCCACCTCAGCTTTGCATCATAGAGGAGGCCTTCCTCTTCATCTGCTGCCACCAACTCACCAACAGGTGTGTTGTTGTATATCTGGGATAAAGCATTCGCATCAATTTGTACGACTTGACTAAACCAGCGGAGCCGCTGAATTCTAATCCGCTGCACTATGTCCATGGCGTTGTAAATCTCATACAGCTCATTGTTTCATCGTCTGCGGTATTTACCATCGCCAACACGTAAATTGCGTAAGTGTCCCGGATTATCTTTCTCTCGACACCCCAAGAAGCGCCTTATCGTGTCTTGACATTATTCATTCTTATGCGGGCTCGGTGGAGGCGATCAGCTTCAGCGCTTTATCAGAAGTTTCGTCGTGGAGGCTAAGATCGCTTCTTTGCGCAGCACGATTTTGGTATCGTAACTAGGGCAGCGTTCATAAGAGCACTTTAAACGCTCATAGAAAAGAAATTTGTAGGCCTCTCCCTTCTCTTATCTCGAGGATGTTGCGAGATGTTCAAGAACCTTGCGCGCCCACTGGGGTAAACGACGGTACTCCGCGACTGTGCCTTTGCCTTCATAGTTAAATCGTGCACCGAACTTACGCCTCTTTACATGGCAGCTGTAGTAGGCGTTGCAATTTGATATGTTCTTTCTATTTAGTCCCGTCCACTGCATATCATGGATGGCGGTGATGTCAGCATTAGCCTTCTCTAAAACATCAACCAGGATGAGGCAGCCTTCCTATGCCAAGTGGATGCCCTCTAATCATAGCACATTATCCGAGGCAACATTGCTATTTTCATTGAAAGTTTGTTTTACGTGACGGGGCCTCAAACCCAGCGCACAACCCAAAATCGAGGCTGCATTTATATAGCGAGTGGTTTTCTCCATTTCAGAGGCCTACTCTCGCGTTAAACAAACTCTGAAGACTTCAGCGGGCTTTTAAACCGGGTACGAGAGAGTTTCCACACAACGGCTCCCTTTGTACATGTTTTTAGCACAGATTCAGATTTTGCGGACAAAAATACATAACTTTAGTTGGAAACTTTTATCTTGAGTGGACTTCTTGTTCTGGTAATACCAACAAAGAATAGAGTATCCCCGATTTGGTAAATCATATTTAGTATAGTCCTCCCTGTATATGTATGTATATATGTGTGTTTGTGTTGAAAATTGTTTTCTCATCTGAAATTCTTGTACGCCGTTGCTTGCTCCACAATAAGTACAAATTTAGATATTCGACAAGGAAATATTGGTTAAAATTCATTTACAGAAAAGCTTAAAACTTCAAATATTTTCCGAAACACTTCGCTTTCTCCTTTCGCTGCACTATCAACACTTCACATCTGCACAGTGCTGCTGTACGGTTACCCACCCTCCCCTCAAGTTGCGTCGACATCGTAGCATGAAAAAGTTTCAGACTTCCATTTCGTTCATAATTAAAAATTAATGAAGAAATTTATAATTTTCAAAACTGGGACAAAAATAATTGGCTGCAACGTTGTGATGTAGGAAGGAAATTGTCAATATGCGACGGTATCGTACTATAAACATACATACATAAGTACATACATACATATATATGTATGTATGTGCATACTCGCTGAAAACTGCCAGTGCCTCGGCAGGGCAATGACAGTAGTTCGCTAAAGTTATTGTTGTATTTTTGTACAGTTGAGTGTATGTATG